GGTCACTGCCCCCCGCTGCTGCCCAGAGCCCGAGCGGTGCCCGCCCGGGGCTCCCACCGCACCGAGGGGTCCCCCGGCCCCACGGCACCGCTCGGGTGGGCAGGACACGGGCTGGGGACATGGCACGGCCACCACCTCCATCACTGCCCCCTTCCCCGGCAGGCTCAGGCCCCACTGGTCCCACGCTGCCCAGAAATGGGGTGCCAAGGGGGCCCCCAACCCCCCACCCACCGCAGCCTCCTCCAGGTAGGGCTGCAGAGCCCAGAGCACGGCCACCCTGGCTCGTTCAGAGCAGCTCCCCTGCCACCCATGGGGACACGGGGCACAAACACCTCCCCTCTCAGCCTGGGTGCCCAGCTGCTGGCACGAGGTGCTGCACAGAGCCATGCCGAGCAGTGCCAAGCTGTGCCAAGCCATACCAAGTGGTGTCACCACACAATCCCACCATTGTCCCTGCCACCACTCTGCCTCCACCAGTCCCCACCATTTGCAACCAGCTGGCGCTGCCCCCCAGTCCCCTGGGGCTGCAGTCCTCCAGGACCTGCTTGCTGTGGTGTGCTAAATTGCATGAAGAGGGTGTCACAGAACCACAGGATGGTTCGGGTTGGAAGGCACCTCAAAGACCATCTAGTTCCAATCTCCCTGCATGGGCAGAGACGCCTCCCACTAGACCAGGTTGCTCCAAGCCCCATCCAACCTGACCCTGAACATTTATTTCCAGGGATGGGGCAGCCACAGCTTCTCTGGGCAACCTGGGCCAGGCTCTCACCACCCTCATAACAAAGAATTTCTTCCTATTATCTCGTCTCAATCTCCCCTCCGTCAGGTCGAAACCATTCCCCCTCATCCTGTCACTCCATGTAAAACATCCCTACCCAGCTTTCCTGGAGCCCCTTCAGGTCCTGGAAGGTCTCCCCCCTCTTCCCCAACACTGCAGGACCCCCAGTGCAGACATCACAGCTGCTCCTCACCAGCCCCTGCCCGGCCAGGTTGCTAATTGCAGGAGGGGGGGAAGAATGATCTTAATGATCTTAATCCCTTCTTTATGATTGAGCAAAGACCACAAGGGCTCCCCCTGTCCCGTTTCTGCCCCTTTTCTGGCCCCCAGCCCTTGGGGAAGGCGCCAGGCAGCGTCATCTGGGTCCCTGTCAGAAGGTGCTTAGTCCCAGCCGTGGCATTAAGGGGCACGTGATGGGCTCCCTTGCCCGCATCTTTGCACTGGGCAGCTTAGCAGCCTGGAGGGATGCCAGGGTTCAAGGGGACACCACCAAGGTCAGGAGGCCCCAGCCCACCTCTAGGGACTGCCCAGCCGTTTGCAGAGCCCTGTGAACCCCCCTGCAACCTCCCTGCCAGGTCCAGATTCTGAAAGCTGGCTGCCTCAGGGACTCGTAAGTGACCAGTGAGCTACAGCACCCAGGCAAGGCCACCATTTGGGTATCACCTACCTTGCCCTCCTCACTCCTACCATGACCCGTTTCTATGGGTCACTCCCAAAACCTGCCCCCCACCAGCCCAAGATGTTGGTCTGGGACACAGCAGCAGCATTCTCCCACGGCCCAGGGGAGATAAGGAAGATCTCCCCTTCCCGGGGCTCCTGGCACACAGGCTGAGCATGCTGCATCAGTCCTAACAATCCCCCAAAAAATAAAGGTTGGAGAAGGCTCTCAAGGGGTTCAG